TTACGTGAATTTTGACTCCGCCTTCGCGCAGCTCCATGGTCAAGAGTGTTTGCACTATCTTTACACACTGTGAGTTATTAACACCATGTCTTTAATGGCATCAAAACGATTTGCGTAGAAAATCGCTGCCTTAATCGATGTTCCCCATCTTGTAATTGCGGGTTCTGGAGGCAATCTTACACCAGATAATTTTTCTTTATAGATTTGCACACATAAAGGTGCTTTCAAAAATACTTTTTTAATGTTTGAAATTTATTTATTGACTAAATCAACTTCACTTCTGCTACTCTATTTATTTTGCCATGTAAAAGAGAACTGACCTGTACCATATCAGGATAATGTATTTTGATTATCTGATAAACATATTAAACAATTTTCACTCTTTATTCCTCTTTGCAAAAAGAATTCAGAAAGTGTGTACTGAATAAAACGACTAACAGTCATATTATTGGTTTTCTCCAGTTGTATTGCAGCTATTAAATAAGATGTTTCTGGTTCATACTCTTTAAAGACGCCGATTATAAGATGCACCATATATCGACCACATGTATCTGTACTTTTCTAGACAATTACGCAGAAGTGTTATCGCTTAAACAAACTTTAATTTTCTCAATTACTTCGTAATACGAGCATTCACGTTGCCCTTTCTTAGTGTTGCCTCGTTAGAAAGATTGAAGTTACAACATTTTTGCAAAAATTGACTAAAATGTGTATCTTGCAATTTTTTGCAACAGATCTTGATTAAACAAACAATTTTTCTTTTTTTTATTCATCTTGATCTTGAACATTTTGAAGAGATGTATTAATTGACTGCTTAACGGGTCTTAATGCAATCTTTTTTAGCTTCAACTAATCGCATTTTTTAAATTTGGTCAACTTAAAACATCTTCTCACAGAAAATATGTAGATTTCTTTTAGATTCTTATATGAGGCGCTTAAGAACAAAAGCAGAATTGTCTAAAATTTGACGAATTTTTGTTTGATGCTTCTCTATATATCCGTCTTTATATAAGTAAAAGCGAATTTGTCCAATAAAAATATTCTTCTAAAAAATGTCTTTTATGGAACACGGTGGCTTTTGTTTGTCAGTTCCTCATTTAAGAAAGGAAATATGAAAATGACTGTAACTAATAATTTTGGAACATGCTTTGCAAAATATTTCTTCTCCACTCAGCTTTTACTCGGGAAAACACTTTATCCATGCACTTTTTGAATAATAATAATATTGGTAGAGTTTATTTATAACAAAAAAAAATCTGTTACAATATAAATTTACATATTTTATACAATACATAAACACACCCAGTTTCTCACAGAAGTTGTGTGTCACATGGACTACAACTTGTACGTGAGGGTTGACTTTTTTTAACATCTTTTTATCGCACATATTACAATTATAAAAACTTTAAAGTAGTAAGTAACATGAGATAAGATTTTCACATATTGTCATTTTGACAGTTATGTTATATAAATAATCAGCTGTCAACAATGACAATGACAAAGTGCTACAGTGTTATGGTCTATACCATGTTGTGTTAGGGATTCTATGAGTTTTGTGTGTTTACTCGATTAAACGCTTTTTCGTAGTCGATAAAGTAGAGAAACACGTCTTTTCTCTGATCTCGGTATTTTTGTAGTAATATCTGGAGGCCAAATAATGCCTCCCTTGTACCAAGCCCCATACGAAATCCAAATTGATTGTCGTTCAGGTTTCTTTCCCATTCTCTGTATATTCGTTGATGTACAATTTTGAGTAAAATTTTCAAAAAATGGCTCATCAGTTCTTATCTTACCTTTGATAATTAGTTAGTGTCTTTTCGTGACGTGTTTTCGACGTAGGAATAATTTCGTCTTGAGGTAAATCAGTTATGCTGAAAATAAATTATTTAAACAGATTAGCGATAGAGTTTGTTGCACTAACAATTTCTACATCTAGTACACATTTTTGTAAATCTTTATAAAAATATCCAATTTATTCAGAGCTTCCTCAGCTTGCTCAGGAAATTGAGAAAATAGGCAACACATTTCACTTTTTATATTGGCAAATTTAAAACAATTATGAACTGTAATGTTACACATTTTTACCCGCATCATCATAATCGTTTTCGTAGTCTGGATCCAAAGTCACATTGTCTAGTAAATAATGAAAAGAGATTTTCTGTTGCTATTTTGTTCATTTTCAACTTAAAATTTGGATAATTATGAGACCTTAACGGATTTTAATATTAATCACAACTGGAAGACATATTTAAATTTAATATATACAAAACACTTCAAAAACACTAAACACCATACAACGTTTACTTTAATTTAACAAATGTTTGCTGGAACCTGACAAAATAATTAGACCCTTTAAAGCAGTTAGGTACCTAGGACTTGCTACGCTAATAAAATAATATTTTTCTTGGAACGCCCATAATTAGAAAATTCAGGTAGTAATGGGAAAGTTCAGATAAATAATGAGCGATAGATAATGAGCTTGTTCATGTCAAAGTTAGAAAATTCCAACTAAGAGAGCAAAATTTTATTTTTAAAGAGGAAATTTTACTTATTAGAGGAAACTTTTATATAATTTATTTTTAATATATGCAAAATATATCGTGTTTATCTCAAATATATAATGTTAGTTGAAATGAGCAAAAATATGCAATATATGCATCTATATGCACGTTGCATATATTCCGCTCTATTGATTACTTAAAGATCTTTACTAATAAAGATGAGTATAAAAAAATGCAGGCCTACATCAGAAGAAAAATAAGAGAAGCTAAAGAAAAAGAAGCTGTAGAGAAATGTAAAGAAATAGAAAGACTACAAGACAAGCATGACAATTTTAATGTACACAAAAAGGTAAAAGAAATAACGGGTACTTTTAAAAAGCGACCGCAAATGAAACTCATAGACACCAATGGAAAATTAATCATTGACACCCAAGAGATGAAAGACAGATGGAGAATATATTTGGAGACACTTTTTCAAGACCAAAGAACGGATTATAGGCATCCATTTTCAGAGGGGATGACGGGCCCGGACATACTTAAATCCGAGGTAGAAGAAGCAATAAAACGGATGAAAAGCAGGAAAGCTGTAGGGCCTGAAAATATCGAAGCTGAATTTTTAAAACTCTTGGAGGAAGAAGGAATAATTTGGATCACGGCTGTCTTCAATAAAATTTACAATACAGGAATCATCCCTGATAAATGGCTAGAATCAGAATTCATAGCGATACCTAAAATACAGGGGGCTAAAAAGTGCGAAGAATATCGAACAATCAGCCTAATGAGCCACATGTTGAAACTGTTTCTTAGAGTCATCCATGGAAGAATTTATAAGAAGTGCGAGGAACAAATATCGGACAGACAGTTCGGCTTCATTAACGCAGTGGGTACCAGAGAGGCACTTTTCGGAGTACACGTACTGATTCAAAGATGCAGGGACGTTAACTGCGACGTATACGCGTGCTTGATCGACTACGAAAACGCATTTGCCAGAGTTCAACATCAAAAGATGATAAACATTTTAAAAGAGGCAGACCTGGATGACAAAGACCTCAGAATAATTTCAGAACTCTACTGGAATCAGACCGCATACATGAAAATTAACGAAGAAGAAACAAATCACATAAAAATACTACGTGGAGTTAGACAGGGATGTATCCTATCGCCGTTGATATTTAATATGTACTCAGAGAAAATTTTTAACGAGGCTCTTTACGGAATAGACGAAGGCATCCTTCTAAATGATGAAAGAGTAAACAATGTTAAATATGCCGACGACACCATGGTGATAGCACATAGTTTAGAGGGACTTCAGAGGCTAATGGACAGAATAAACGAGTACAGTCAACAGTACGGACTAAACATTAATACCCACAAAATGAAACAAATGATTATCAGCAAGGAGAATATAAATGGGGCTCATATATACATTAATGAGACGCAGATAGAGCGAGTAAAACAGTATTGTTACCTGGGAACTATTATTAACGAATAGTGGAGCAATTTACAGGAAATAAAGTGCCGCATAGGAAAGGCAAGAACGGTCTTTAACAAAATGAGCGCTATCTTCAAAAGTCACAACATATCCCTTGATACAAAAATGAGACATTTGAGATGCTATGTTTTCTCTGTATTGTTGTACGGGACGGAGGCATGGACGCTTACAGACGCCACTATTAAAAAACTTGAAGCATTTAAGATGTGGCTTTATAGAAGAATGCTGAGAATATCATGGACAGCAAGGATCACGAACAAGGAAGTTCTAGGAAAAATGAAGAAGGAACCAGAGATTGTGTTTACGATCAAACGCATAAAATTGCAATATCTGGGACACGTTATGAGAAATCATCACCGTTACTCCCTGCTACAGTCTATATTGCAAGGTAAAGTCAAAGGTAAGCGTGGACCCGGTAGAAGGAGAATATCATGGCTGCGGAATTTAAGAACATGGTTTAAGAAAACCTCAACGGAGCTGTTGCGAGCCGCAGCGAGCAAGGTTATGATTGCCAATATGATTTCCAACATCCGAAACGGATAGGAACCAGAAGAAGAAGAAGAAGATTGATTACTTAACCTGTTGGTAATGTTTCTCGAATAAAATTCTAATCCTCAATGTTGAGATCAGTAGGCAATGATCTGAGTCTATGTTTGCGCCTATATAAGTTCTGCAGTTCTATATGACTGGGTGATGTTAGTTAGGACTCTTTTCTACGAAAAATTATGGATGTGGATATTGGACGGAGATGCTTGTAAAGAAGAGGGACAAAACAACAATGTGGCATGTATATAAAACTTAACTTTGTGCGCATATTCGCCATTCTGCCTTAGAAGGTGTATAATTTTAGTAATTTTAAAACCACATTATATATTTTTTCACAATTTTCGAGTAAAACTCATAGATTTTTTATTATTTTTTGCTTAGGTTTGTTAATTACTAAAAATAGTTTTTTTGATACGTTTTGATAAATATTATTAACGTTAATTATGCTGTATTTGTTACAGGAGCGTTGTGGTGTAGTTAGTGCAAATGGTAGTAGCCCGTTAGAAAATATGCGAGGACTAGAACATTATTTGAATGATATTATGAGTCCACAAAGTAACACGACTGATATGAAAGGTAAGTTGATATAGTTGTAAATTTTTATATACTATTACGATAACATAATAACCAATTGGAAACATCCAATTTGTGAAATGTTATATCACTAAGGATAAAATTACACAAACGCACCGGAAAATACATTACTATATGTCGAATTCCACAGAAAAATATACTTTTTTGTTGCCATAAACATTGATTTTGAAATTTGAGGGCACACTCTTGGGACCAATTTTTGTTTTGGTCTCTAGCACTTTAAACTGTAAATAAAATAGTGCCGTCACCCGGAACGAGTTTAATCATGTCTCTTTTGCAAAAAATTTAAAAATAGAATGAGCGAAATAATAATGATTTTGGACTGGAGTGTAAAATGTCAAGAATTAAAATCACTGTAGAATCTGTTCACAAATACCTACAAACCTTATTAAAAAACAAAAATTACTGGAGAGAGTGGGGAGCCTATTGGAGCACCATTTATTTGTCTGTAGAATTGATTTTGGAAAATGAAAAGCTTTCGTATGATGAGGGTCTAAGTCTTTGGATTGAGATTGAGTGGGAGATTGATGTCTGTAGATGCTCCTATTGAAGTTATTTTGACAGTAACCGTTTTGGACAAGAAATTGTTTTAAACTAGAGAGATCAGCGGGTCTACTTGGATCATGGCAAAGGCGTATTGATCTGGAGACAAGCAAATTAATGACTGAATTAATTTGTGAAGGGGGATGATGAGAGTTGGCGTACAAGTAACGTTTTAGGGGTTTTCGATAAACAGAGTAAAGAAAACCTTGGAATTGGTTTTTCTTTATGATATCATCGAGAAACGGTAGGGATGAATCAGTTTCCACCTCCATCGTAAATTGGATACTAGGATGTATACCATTCGGATGCGTTTGAAAAGACACCAAAGGATCCCTGCCATGGGGCCAAATAACGAATGTATCGACAGCGTATCGTAGGCAACATGTGAGTTTGAGCATTGATGTGGATAGTGCTCGGGTCTCGAACTCTTCCATAAAGATATTGGCAATTACTGGAGATAGTGGGGAGCTCATTGGGGCACCATTTATTTGTCTATAGAATTAATTTTGGAAGATGAAATACGTGTTGGGTATAAAATCTTTAATGAGAGAAGTGTTCTTGCTGGTTACTGTATATAGTGTAGTGTAGTGGTCTGTATTACAGTAATTGCCAACATCTTTATGGAAGACTCCGAGACCCGAGCCCTATCCACATCAATGCCCAAACCCACATGTTGGCTATGCTAAGTTGAAGATACATTCGTCATTTAGCCCCTTGGCAGGGATGCTTTTGTGTCTTTTTAAACGCATCTGAATGGTATACATTATAGTATCCAGTTCACGATGGAGATAAAAACTGATTTTATCTCTACCGTTTCTCGACGATATCATAAAGAAAAACCAATTCCAAGATTTCCATCACTATTTATCAAAAACCCACCCATACCAATCGTTTCTTGCATGCCAACTCTCATCATCCACCTTCACAAATTAATTTGGTCATAAATACCCCTGTCTCCAGATCAATACGCCCTTACCATGATGCAAGTAGACCCTCTGACTGAGCTCTCTAGTTTAAAACAAGCTTTTATCCAAAACTGTTACCACAAAGACTCAGACCCTCATCATACAAAAGCTTTTCTTCCTTACATCAAAGTTGTCACTGACAAACTCGACAAACTTCTTAAATCAAGAGAAATATAGACAATATTTAGTCCCTAACAAAAACTGTTATCTCTTGTCCGATCAATCTTAAAAACATTCCAAATGAATACAGAGTTTATGAAATTCCTTGTGCAGACTGCCCCGATGTTATATAGGCCAAACAAATCGTAGAATCTAAAAGAGGATTTATAAACATTCCATTTCTGTTCGCAATTTCGATTCAATTTCCGCTCTAGGTTAACACCATCTTCATACAGGTCACAAAATTGATTTTAAAAAATTCCAGGACCATAGCCCCCATCCGCTTCTATAAATCAAAAATTATTCGAGAAGACATAGAAATTAAAAAACACCAAATTGTCTCAATAAAGGAGATGACAGCATACGGTTATCTTCGACATTGAGACCTCTCATAAAGAAGATAGGGTTTATTTGCCACCACTTTTGCGTCCACGGTAGTGACAATTCTTGTTTAATAAATTTCACCGATTCACAGTAGTATGTTACATGAATAATCTACCACTAAGCAATGAATAGAGGGTTAAATTATTATTTAAATTATTTAATTTCTCGTGAATGTTTACATTTTTTACTTATAATGTAAAAACATGTCAAATATAAATAAGGAAGCTGATTTATATATAAGTGGAAATTTAAGAAAAGTACTTGCTTATATTTATGAGCGATTAGAAGGATTGTGCGATTATTAAACAATAATTTTGCCCATTAAAACTTTAAACGTTTATTTTTAATGAACATGTCGGATAATTTTTAATGGTTAATAAATTTGTGCTACGAGTATGGGCAATATTCAAACTACGATGAATGAGTTTTGTGTGCATAGCATCTTATTACACACAACTAGTTAAACAAAATATTTTCTGAGAAAATTTGGCCATCGCAACTAATATATTAAAATTTTCAGGTTTCCTATTCCACTGTAGTGACGTTTTGGGTACTGTGTACCATTGTACCTATATCTACCAAAGTAGCCTATATCTATTTTTTTTTCTAGGTGCCCCTGGGCCTGAGATATGCCCCTCGAAGGGACCACAAATAGCCCTTTTTACCAAATGTTTGAAGAGCTATACCTGGGAGCCCATTGGACCGATTTTATCCCACAATATCTCTTTTTTTTGTTGTACTGTCAACTTTTTGATAAAATAATTTACAAAACCGCAAAAGATAAGTTTTATTTTATAGGCTTATAGGAAAAGAAAACAAAAAAAAACTGAGATACCGTGAGTTAAAATCGGTCCACTGGTCTCAGAGATATAACTCTTCAAATATAGGATAAAAAGGGCTATTTTCGACCCTTTCAAAGGGCATATCTCAGGCCTAGAGGAACCTAGAAGGTACTTACTATTAGAGGCTAATTTTTTTAAGTTACAATGATATACTAAAATTTGATAACCCCTCTACAAAAGTGGTCGAAAAATAAAAATATTGCTCATATATAATCAGTAGACTTCGGCAAATATGCAAATAAAAATGTAGAAAATATGCGCATAAATATGCACGTGTTTACCCGAAAATATGCAAATATTTTACAAAATATGCATACAAATAAATAAAAAAATCGTAAAATAGTAACAATTTTATTAAAAAAAAAAAGTGTACATAACTAAATATTTCCTACTATTCATTAAGATTTACATTTATTTTAAGTAACTACATCATTTTTAAGTATGAATAAACTTATTTAGAATTATGGTAACAATAAATGACTAAGTGGTGTTCAAAATTTTCTAACAAAAACTTGTGGCTTCTGTCTGAGTACATATATTTATATATGGAAAAACTTCGTTCAACATCAACTGATGTAACGGGAGCATTTTTCAAACTAACCAAAACATTTGGTTCTAAATTAATTGTTTCCGAAATATTTCCAGCTAGAACACTGACTACTTCAGAAAGAATATGGTAACCTTTATTTTTTTCCATAGTAGCTTCAATTTTTTTTAAAATATCTTTTCCAATATTACCTCTAACGTTCCGACAACATGACGCAAATTCTTTTATTAATGCTGTACTTTCGAACAATGACAGTTTTCGTGATTCTAACTGAGTAATTGTTTTTTGAACAAAACTAAAATTTGATTTTATAAATGAAAGGTCTTGTTGAAGCAAGTTACTCTGAAAAGTTTGTTTAGAATCCAAAAGAGATTGGGAACTTTCATCTGTTAACGTATCAATTATGTTCTTTATTTTAACAAAACGATCTGCATAAAAATTAGCTGCTTCTAACCATGTTCTCCATCGCGTTAAAATAGGTTGTGGTGGAAGAGGAATGTTAGGTAGCATTTCTTTATAAAGTTGAATTCTTATAGGAGATTTAAGAAATACTTTTTTGACACTGGATATCATGGTATTTACAAGAGGAAACTTTTTTCGTATTTCCTCTGCAACTCTGTTTAATCCATGCGCTACACAAGTAACATGTATTAAATCTGGGAAAAATATTTTTAAATTTTGTCCTGCTTTCACCACATAAGGAGCAGCATCCGATAAAATAAGCAGTAATTTATTAGAAGGAATAGTTGTCGGAAGAAACAAGTTGCTTATGTTTCTTGTATAAAACGCGAAATTGTTAAAGCATTTGTTTTCTCAAGTTGCTGGCATGAAATAAGATGAGATTTTGGTAAGGTATCTTCTTTAAGAACACCAATCAATAAATGAGCAATATACTTTCCTGAGGAATCAGTGGTTTCGTCTACAGATATGTAAAAATAATTATCTGCAATTTCTTCCTTAATATTAATTAACACCGACGAGTATAGCCCGTTCACATTATTTCTTCTTAGAGACCGATCACTTGGAACATTAAGTTTGCAATATTTTTTTAGAAACGAACTAAAATTTACATTTGCTAATTTTGAAAGCGGTATGTTTGCAGACACTAATGCGCGACACAAGTCTTCATTAAAAGTTTCTTGCTCATCTAATTTTTTTGAAGTAGATTGGAAACATTTAGCCATTGAAGTTTGATGTTTTCCTCCTATTTTTCCTTTTTTTGCAATGTGTGAAGCAGTTCTCACATGTTGGTCTATCTGAAATTTCTTCTCACATGCTATCTATAAATAAAAATAAAAACCTTTATTTTAACCCAACCTTTAAAATATAAAAATATACAAGGTGTTTTTGGTTAATCAAATAACTGGTTTGGAAAAAAAACACTCGCTAAGTGTTTTAAATGCAGTATTAATCCACAAATTAGTTTTTGTTAGTAACCATTAGTACATCATATAACTTATTTTAAAATTCAACAAAAGTTTTTTTTTGTTAATTCAATTACAATAAAAATAATTGTGTTTTAGAATAGCTGACTTCATAAAA